TTATGAGTCAGAAAAGTATCTCAGGAAGAACCTGGTGTAACAAATGATAGATTTTAATTTAAGAAGCTTTTCATGGAAAGGGATTTTTCAGAAATGGGCTTTACTCTGAGATGGAGGTTTTGTTTGGAGTAGAAAAACTGAATGAGTCTTGATATGTCAGCATTTTCTTCATAAAATGTGGACTGGGAGTAAAAGCTGAATTCTGATATCACAGAACTCAGAGTGGGGTGGTGTTCTAGCAGGAATATCATTTTCCCACCTGATCCTCCATCCATCAGGCTGAGTCAGTTCTTTCAAATTTTAAGGGTCGAGCTGAGTGGACTTCAAATACTTGTGAACATTTGGAAGTGTGCTGGTGCTAAACCCTTCTCGAGAATCTGATCATTGGAGTGTCACCTTGCTCGGGTTGAGTGTTTCCCAGAGAGCTGAACTGCTGGCAAATTTGGCCTGCACATAACCAGAATGGGCTTTAATCCTGGCCTTTAGGTCTGGAACTGGTTCCCTTCTTAAGGAAAGTGCAACTTGATATGAGAAATGCAAATGCCAGGGGTTCAGGTTGTCCAGTGTGTGTTGTGTATCTGCTGGAAGTATATTAAATGTGGAATCTGCCAAAGAAACAGTAAATACAAAGATCCCCATGTGATTTTTATCTATTTTAATGGCTTTTACAGTCCCCAAATCCAGTCATTAAGAGGAATAAGATGCTGATCTGATTGGGATCCAGGACTTAAACTTGTCTGTATTTTTGTCAGTGTGCATGTAACTTAATTTCTGATTTAATGTCTCCATAGTCCCTCTTTCACTGTATTTTCTAGATAAGGATGAACACCAAAATATTTTTTTCTTCAGATGCTGGAGAAATATGTGAATTTATCCATCAGGATGAACTTAAAAAGATTTTATTATTTATTTTTCTGGCTGTTTAATGGATCCAGCTTCTTCAGGAGATATTCCACATCTGCAGAATATACCTGTGTGCTAACTTTTGTTTGTGGTTCTCTAAATTAGAAGCAACTGATGTGGGCAGACAGCTTTCTTTGGCTATTTATTTTAAAATGTCCAAGCACATCAATTACTCCTTTCAAAGTCAGTTGAAGTTTTTGTTTAGTAAATTAGCTCCAGATCTCTCCCTTGTATTACTAGTCAAGAAATACTTTAAAATGGGCTCAGATTTTACTCAATCCCACCCCCCCTTTGAACATCTTCTCTTGCATTGTGAGTGTTGGGATCTGTGGCCTTGACAGATGCCAAGATAAAAATCGTGCCAATGCACACTTTCCCGTTTTCTGTGGAAATCTGTGGAATTCAGCACTAAAAGCTGGATTTGGCTCTCGGACTTCCAGGCCTCAGCCATTCTTTATTTTGCATGTCGATGCCATAAGGCTTCTGTGACACTTGAGCTGTGACACTCCTCCAAAATTCATCAGCTCCTGCAGACATTTGCTTTGATTTCAGTAGCTCTGCCCACAATCATCTGTGGCTGTGCTGACAAATTTTGTTCCGTGTGTTGTAATGATTTTGGGACATGCAGGAACTTAATGAATTGCAACTGTGGGGATGAATTTTGCTGGAGGTGGACTTTTTACTTTCTCGGCATAAATTCTGTGCCACCTTCTAAGCGAAGCTTGTTGCTGCTTGGAAGAGATGATTAGCACACAGTAAATTTCGTGGCACTGCTGAAAATGTTCAGGCAAAGTGGGAACCAGCATTTCCCTCACTGTTTTACTGTTGGTTTGTGTTTTGGACGTTACTTATTGCGTGCTGATGTGTCTTCTGTTCTCTGCTGAAACAGAGGAAATACTCTGATACTGGAAGCAGAAGAGTTTGATTCTTGTTTTTATTTTGACCATTTCTTAGCCAAGTTGTGTGTGCCCCTGGAAGAGCTGCTTCTCTGCAGGGTGGCCTTGGGAGAACTTCTGAGAGTGCCATCTCTTTGTTGCAAAAAACCACAAATTAAACCAATTTCTGGGGGAGTGTCAGTGTCACCTCTCATAATGAAAGAAGAGCCAACCACAGTACGGGTGAGGTACATACACATCCCACCGGGCTGAAAAAGAACTGTGTCACTTAAAGAAAACAAATTCAAAACAAAATCCCTGTATTTCAATATACAGGGATTGTAAATTAAGCACTAAGAGCACACTAAGCCCAGGTAGGTTCTTGGCAGAATATTGACATTATTTTAAGTGGCTCTACACCTTCTTAATAATTTTGGTGCATCTAATTCTTCTCCAGGACTCCTGTCATTCCTGCCACTGTAATAGCAAAAGAAATTAATTCCTCTTAGAGATTCCAATACATTTGCAACTTAAGGTGATCTCTCAATTTTAAGGTGATTTCTTCACTAAACATCCCAAGTTCCCTGTCTGAACGGCCAGAATTTACTGGATTGAAAACTATGGAAGTGTTTTGCCAGTGTGGATAAAACCTTAGGTTTCCCTTTGAGACAGTTTTGTAGTTTGATGGCAACATTTCTTTATTTTTCTCTTGTTATGGTAATGCCTTCACGGTGAAAGACAATTATTAAGTGATCACCTGCTAAAAATGTTAAGGATGGTTGAAGCTACAAATTTCAGAGGGAGAGATTGCTTTCTGAGTTAGAGGTGTTTGGAGTCCAGATTGATACACCCAATTCTGTGAATTAGAGGAAAAAAAGAATAAGAGGATATGACCTCCCCAAAAAGGAAATTTTGAGTTTTACGACAGGCAAAATTAAGAGCAAGCTTGCAGGTTTTGTGTTTAAATGTACCCCTGCTGCTTTTACTCTGTATTAAGCTTTCTAAGGAAGCCTTATCCTGGCACGTCAGGTGTAATATTCTGTCCGTAAATTATAGTTGATCCACACTTTCACTGAGGCATTCTTTAAAAATAAAGATGCACCTTCCTCCAGGTATGTGAGAAGAGAAGGTGGGGTGGTGGTCACATTGTTTGCTCTTCTCTTGGCAGCAGGGGCTTGAAAAAAGTTCAACGTTTGGGCTTCGAAGGCTTTGTGAATGTTTTTCGTGAGGTTTTCTTATCTACTTTTTTTAGAGGGAAGTGGGGAGGTTTTTTGTGGTTTTGTTTTTTTGGAGCTGTTTTGTTTTGATTTTTTTAAGAAGGGTTAAATTCACCATTCTTACCCCCTTGGTGCTTTGCTAGCAATAGTGGAGATAGAAATTCCATCAGCCTGCCAGGTGAAAGTCTCTTATATAGCAGTATGGTTTTGAAGGGGGAAGAAACAGGAAAAAACCCACAGCATGGCTCTAAAAAAGTGTTAGGATGTTTGGTTCCACCTCTAGTTCTGTACAGCCATTGGGGTACAAAAGGGAGAAATAATTTTCTAATCCTTTTGCAAAAATTATTGTGACTCGAACTCCTGAGAAAGAGATGAAAAGAATCTGCTCCTTTTGTTATTTTTGTGGTTTATTTATCTCTTACATTGCCTTTTCTGTAACTTGAGTATTTATATTATAAGTATTTATATTACCTGATCACCCTGTGCTCCAAATCACAGTGCGGCTTTTTAGAAATAAGAATTATATAAGGGGCAGACATTCAAAAGGTTTCACATTTCTTTGATTTTACTTTTATTGCCCCTTCTGAAGGCTCTCCCATTGCTTATTTAAACAGTCCTATTTGATTCATTGTTTGAAAAAAGGCAATTAATAGATGGATGGAAATTGTTAGTAAAGGATGAGAACTTTCTGAAACAGAACAGTGGTTGAAAGACTAGGAGGTTTACCTTTAGGTAATTTTTGGGGGAAGATCCTTCCTCCGGCTTCTTATTTCCAGTATTTCTGCAGTGCTGAGTTATGAAGTAGCTGATTGGTTTTGCAGATAAAGCCAAATTTGTAATTTCAAGCTGCTTGCAGATTGTAAAAGGGGGGCTTCAGAGCTGCTGGAGGGAAGTGGATGGAGACCTGGGCTACTCTGAGTTTAAGGTGGATTTCTGGGAGGGACCAACACAAGGAGGAAGGCTTGGGAAAAAACCCACAAACCTAATTCAGAAGTATGTCAAGCACCTCTGCAATGGAAGACACATTTGAAATGTTCTGATAATACTAACCAGTGAGTTGCTAAAAAGATCATTTTATCTGTTTATCATTCACTGCCTAAATTAGGGAGAGTAGCTGGGGTTTTTGGTGTAGCACACCACAAATTTAGGCCTGATAGTCATCAAGCCGTGAGGTCATCTTTAATTATTTATGTATTTTTAGTTGGTTGATGTGCACCACGGAATGATTCACAACAGTGACTGTGATGCTGATGTTCCAGGTGTAAGCCAGAATACAGTCTGTAAAAAGAAGAAAGTGTTGCATTTTCTAGAATGAGTGAAGAAGTGGTTTTGGGGGTTGATAATAGGATTTGTAGTTAAGGCAGAATGCATCTCTCATCACTCTTGATACTCTTTCAGATACAGGCCAGATTACAAAAAAAAACCAAAACCAAAACAATTCTATTATGTCTTCTAAAACACTGGATTTTTTGTGGTTCTTCCTGTATGTGGATTAATGTAGAAAATTATAATTGGGCTTATTTTTTATTTTGGGAAGACAATCTTTTGTTATAAAAGGCACACCTTTTTCTCATGCCATATTAACAGCATGTTTCAGGTGGTTGTTTGTTACAACAAAACCACTGTTTGAACTCATTGTCTGCTTACTTTAAAGTCAAAAAATACCCCTTACCTTTTAACTACAACAAGCGTACCAAAATCAGGTGTTTGTTTTTAATTTTTGACAACGTATCGTTGTTTACTGTGATGATACTCCAGTTATTTTGGGAAGGAGTGTTCCATACATTGACTTGCTGTTTTTCAGTTGTGTATATTCAAAATAAATATATGTGTAATATATATATTCAGTATATATCTTTCATTTGTATATATTCAGATTCCCTGACCATATGTTGGATGCAGATTAGGAATGTGCACATATTCAAAAAAAAAATGGGGAAATTTTCCTGTATTCTTAGCACTCTTTTTTTTAAAAAGCTGTTTTTTCCCTGCCCTTGTGTTTCAGACATTGATGAGTGTGAGAATGACTTTTACAACGGGGGTTGTGTCCACGAGTGCATCAACATCCCAGGCAACTACAGGTGCACGTGCTATGACGGGTTCATGTTGGCCCATGATGGCCACAACTGCCTTGGTGAGTACTGAATTCTGGCCAAAAAAAATCCCTTTTTACGGCTCTGGCCTCACCTGTTTGCTGCATTTTGTCATCTGGTGTGTTTTCAGGGAAAGACTTGATCCAGATCACACTGAGTTTAAGTTTCTGTTGACCCCAGTTTGGTTCAGACCAAACCCTTAAAGCTGTCACTCTTAATCCCAGCATATCAAAACAAGTCTTTAAATCCCATCTTTATTATTGCTGAAGGAAACCCTGACCACCAAAGCCCGTGCTGGACGTTTGGCCTTCTTTTTATAAGAAAAGTAATCTGGTAAATATATTAAATATACTGAAATATATTTGGGCTGTTTCTTCTAGTTTTGTAATTCCAGTCATGTCTTTAGAGCTTCCCCTCCCCTTTTTTCTCTTCTAGGATATGGTGTATAAACATAAATTAAAGAATATGTGAAGATTTTGGGATCTGTATTTTTTATTCATGTCCATTGCTCTGTTTTAAAACAGGTTGAGTTTATCCTATAAGCTAAATAAGTATATGTTTTGTCATAAAATTTCTTCACACCAATTACCTGGAAATGAACCTTTATTGCTATGGCCAGTTTCCTATACCTCCTTACTTGGTGGTCATTTTTAGTTAAATTTTAAATTCCAGTGCTTAGAGACTTTCTGTCTCAATATTCCCAATATAAATGCAACGACCAGTATTTTGGTACAGTCCTAAATTAATTTCAAGGTGATGTTTATAAAACAGTGTGCAAAAGGGATATTTTTCTGTGTCAGGCAGCAGCTTTACCGTGGTAAAAACTGAGATATTTCCAACAAAAGTCAAGAAATGAGGCAGTGAACCAGAAATACTGAAGTCCAGTATCCCCAACCTGCACGAACTGAAGCTGTGGAGCAACTGGAATGTCAGAATAAGGATTTGGTTACCCTGTCAGTAGATGTATTTCCTACTGTGTTCCTTTTTAAACCGAGTAGTATTTGTTCATATGAATTATATATCCTGACCACAGACAGGCTTTTGACTCAAACTTCCAAATTTCATGTGTTATAGAATGAACTAAATAGATTTATTTGCCTCAGTCTGAGGTGGTCAGATGATTAATTGTGCCAGAGGTATTTCTTATACAAAGAGCAGCCACACATTAATTTTGAAAATAAAAAAACCCTCTTATTTATTCTAATTCCAAATTACTTCCATTGTAGTAGGGAAAAAACCTTTTGAACAATGATCAGCAAAAGGAGTGACCTGGTAAAGGATGAGCCATTCAGGAGATCTGTGGGGTTTTTTTGGACCTGCTGTCTCTGTTGTTGCTCTCTGGTCATGAAACACAGAGGTTAAATCTACAAAGACAGTCAAATTTCTAATTATATTTTCATTAAGTTCTACTCAGCCACTTGGGTTTTGGGTTTGTTTTTTTTGAAACCAGAAATATGTAAATGCAGTTGGCTGGATTTAGGAGGTTGCAGTGAGATCTCAAATCAAAACCAAAACATACACATTTAAATTAGGATTTCTGTAAAATTTTGGAAATTGGTTTGCTTCTTCCAGAAATGTTCTCTTTCACCATGATGAAATTAGGCATTGAAAGGAATTAAAGTTTTGAGGAGCCCACTTTTTTCCACCTGTTCCTGCTTTTTGACAAACCCCTTATTTTTTATGGATTTTAAGGAGACAAAGAATGCTGCACAAGATTAGTAGCAATGTTCTTTCTCCTTCCATCCTTCCTTCCTTCCTTCATTTATTTTTTTGGGAAGAGATAATTTGGTTAAGAATTCATGGCTAAACTTTGTACTGGAAAATTCCCCAAACTGTCCTCACAGGAACCTGGCTTATTTGGTGTTTTTACTGAGGCACTTCTCAAATATAGCATGAAATGTCCCCACAGGGTATTCAAATAGGATGAGATCCTTGTCTAGCTAAAAATCATTTATTTTAGCACTGCAGTCACTTGAAATAGAAGTAGTTCTTTCTCAAAAATTGCTCTAAGATCTGCTCAGTGGATGCCAGATTGAGATTTGGTCTCATGCAATAGGTTTGAAACCAGTCAAGAGATATGTTTTCCCTCTTCTTATATGAAATACCAATCTGTTTTTTTTTTTTATAAGCAATTAGTTCACTGGTCCAGATATTCTTTCTTACTTGATAATTTTTCTCTCCATGAGCTAAATTGGTTTTTCTTCCTTTGTGTCTTTCATATGTTGGGTCATGCTGTCACTTTTCATTTTCTCTCTTGCCTTCAGGAAGAATTATGGCATAACTGATCCTCCTTCCTGTTACTGCCAAACACTTTGCCCATCTATGTAGTAATCTGGAGTCTGTTCTCAGATACCTGGTAAAATCCGTACTGGAATATCAATGGATAAGATAAAAGGACTAGTTTTCTTCCAGGGAAGGGAAGACGAAAAAGAAGATTAAATGGTCATCAAGAATTCGATTTTTACTGGTTTGGTTTTGTATCTCTGCAGAAGTGAATGAGGCAGTGCAATAGTTGGTTACTCCATCTGGGAAATTCAGAAAGAGCATTGAATTATTCTTCCTTTCTCCTGAAAGACTTTCTTTATCTCACATTAATGTTTCTCCCACTGTAGAAAAAAATAAACTTCTTGGGAGGTTGTTATGTGCTGTGTTGGTCTGAAGCATCACCAAGGATGGGAGTTCTGAATTTTATCATGGATTTCTAAACCTTGGGGTTTAGCTTGCTAGAAACCTTGCTGAAAGCAGTTCTTGCTGATATTCCTGACTGAGTCTCCCAAATTTATTCAGCATCTGCAAATAGAAGGTGGAAGAGAGTGCTAGGGCTGTTCAGATCAGAGAGCAGAGAGCTTTGCTTCCCCAAATTTCCTTACCAGAGGGCTCAGCTGATATTCCAGCTGTTCCAAGCCTTCTGAAATTCACCTATCTCTGGTCAGAATAGGAAAAAAATGGGGAATGAAGAGTGTGCAAGAAAAACATGTAGAAACAAAAGCTGATGGTTGTTGGTTCTTATTTGAGAAAACCAGGTAGCAGCTCCTCCAAATTCTCGTCTCCTCTTCTCCTGGAGGCAGACTGTTGTGTGAGGGAGTTCTTCCTAAATTATAAGTTGTTTTATATTATTTTCTCCTTTGCTCTGATTCGTGGTAGTTGCTTTTTTAATAGGGAATAAGCTTTGCTTTTTTTTGCATGAACACTTCTTGCTTCCAGGCTGCACTCAACTCTTTTTTTTTCCTAAGGATAAGGACAGGTTCCATGAAGGTCCTCTGCTTTTTATGTTTCTCTCATTAGTAAGTGTGCTCAAGGTGGTTGCAAACTGTTCTTAGAAAGTATCTAAAAAGATACAAAGCAGCATAGAGAAAAAAAATCTATTATAATGTATTCAGAGACTATTTTATTTATAGGTTTTTCTGTGGTATTAATTACTGTAATGTAGGAACATACATGAATACCTTGCAAATACTAATAGATTTGTCCTCAGAAAGTCCTGTAAGGAAAAGTATGATTTTAATTGATTTATAGGTGAGTAACTAGGGCAAACAGATGAAGTTACTTCTCAATCTTCACACAGGATGATTGAGGCATCTCAATGTCTGCACCAAAAATACAATCCTTACCCTTCTGCATCCCTGCTTACACACTCTTATTTCAAATATTCTGTGCAGCTGTAGTTTCTCTTACAGAAAAATAGCAATTACTTAATTTTGACGTCTATAATATGACGTCTCAGTTGATTCTGTTGTGTCAGACCTCCTGCAGATAACTATAGAATTAGGTTTTGCTGGTCCGGCCTAGTTCATCGTTCTTCAGCAGCTAATCCTGTGTCTGATTGAGAAGAATCCTGGGAAGCTGAGTGAACTTCTGGCTATAAATCCAGCCAGAAATGCAGTTACCAGTGTGCATTACGGGTTTCATGGATGCTCAGTGTGGTAGACACAAGCACAGTGTCAGCTGGGAAGGGAATATCAAAGTCCTGGCTATGTCCACAGCCTTGGAGGTGTGCTTAGAGCAGAAGGCCTCATTTTCCAGCCTCAATAATGGACATCAGGTTTTTTATATTTCTGTTCTCAGATGCTACTTTGCATTTCTTGACAGAGCGACTGAGTCCGTGGAAACCCCTGTGGGGAAGGAGAGGTGGTTCTTTCCCCAGAGCAAGGGAACCTTCTCCAGGAGTGGCGTTGCTTGACCAGCTCTGGTGGGGGAAGCAAAGCAGCAGCTGCAGCATTTGGGAGCCTGCAGCTAAAGGAGAAACTTCTGAGGCAAACCAGGGGCAGATGAGTCACAGGCCTCGAGGTGCCTGTTATAGAATGGACCTTGGGATCCCAAATCCCTGTAAAACGTCATGTTTGAAATCCCACAATTTCATTTCTTCTGAGGTCTGAGCTTAAGATCTAAACCCGAGTGCCTGTGTTGCAGTGCTCCTGTAATATCTATTGGCTTATTTTAGGAGAGAAGAGGTTTTAACCCTGGTGTGTTGGCTTAACTCCTGCCTGGGTGGTACAAATCTGCAGTCTGACTCAGGTGGCAAAACTAACATTAGAATACACACACAGAGAATCACAGAATCATTTAGGTTGGAAAAGACCTCTGAGTTCAGCCTTTAGATCATCCTTTAAATATATGTATATCCCCTCATACCGCTCATCGTCTTTCAGTGAATGTTCCAGTGCTCCATGTTTCTTTTTCAAAATAAAGCCAAACCAGTTGGAAATCAAAATCTGCCCGTTCCTACCCTGCTGTTTGAATGTTCACACTGGGATGTGGGATTGTGGCCTGATCTGACAGTCCTACATGAAGTGGGAGGAGAGCTGCAAATGGATGAGAAATCCTTTCTAGAGCTCCCAGATGTGTAATGTCAAGTAGTGGTACATAACTCAGCATTGCATAATCACTGCTATGATTAAAGAGACCAGTGTCTTCCTTTTAATTTAGCTGGATTTTTCTTCTTCTCCAGACAGCTGTGCACAATGTGTTGCTTGCTGAAACTCCAAACAAATGCTTCTGTTACTGATGTTTATTTTTCTTTATGTTTCCCAACAGATCAAAT